TATTTATTTCTCTTAAAGATTCTGAAGTGGTTTCAGAATTTAGAGAACCAATGTTTGGTTCAGCTTCTTGAGATTTTGTGGGAGATGGTGATATTTCTATGGGTGATGGAGAAAAAGTGTTGGAAGAATTTGGAGAAAAAGAACAACAATCAGTGCTCAAATTGTTGGGGTTTGAAAGGTCTGTAGGTTGAGAACTATTGTCTTTTTGAGAATAGTCTAAGTTTGGTTGAAAGCACTCATCAAAACTAAGAAATGTCACCATTTGGCTTGGTTCCTGCATACTTGACGAAGAAGAAATATTGTTAGCAAAAGGAAACACGGTTTCATAAAAAATAACATGATGAGAAATACAAACTCAGTTGGTTTTAGGATCCAAACAACGGTAGCCTTTGTGTATAGGACTATAACCAATGAAAATGCAGGAACACATTTTTCGATCAAATCTACTTTAGTGTAATCCCAAAGGTAAGGAAAACACCGACAACCATAGATCCTTAATCCACTATAATCAGGAGAATGCTTGAACATCTTCTGAAATGGGCTTGTCATATCAAGAGTCGAGAAAGGCATCTGATTGATCAAACAGACAGCAGTCAGAAAAGCATCAACCCTAAATTTTAAAGGAATTGAAGAACTAAACATCAGAGTGAGCGCAGTTTCGACAACGTGTCAATGTTTTCTTTCGGCAATTCCATTTTGTTCAAGAGTATAAGGACATGAAACTTGTCTGGAGATGTCACAATTTTCTAGATGTGTTAAGGAGTTTGTATTAACAAATTCACCACCACCATCACATTGAAAGATTTTAATCTTTTTTTCCAAGTGATTTTCTACTTGTTTTTGGAACTTTAATAAACACTCGAAAAAATCAGATTTTCTTTTAAGAGGAATAACCAAGAGAATCGAGTACAATAATCGATAAAAATGGCATAATAGTGAAAATTTTGAGAAGAATTTACAGGAGAAGGTCCCCACAAATCGCAATGAATTTTATCTAAAGGAAAATAAGCAATTTCGTTGGATAATCTAAAACTTAGCTTACAACTTTTTCCTTGTTGATAGGAAGAACAAATACTAGGTATCTTAGTCTAACTTGAAATATTGATATTTTTGCTAGACTTTAAAACATATAACATTTTTGACTTGGATGACCAAGTCTTTGGTGCCAAATGTTAGAAGTAGCATACAGCAGTCCATGTACAGCATTAAGAGCTAGTTTGAAATCATCCTCCAAGGCATACAATCCACTTTTTTTACTGCCCTTTGCCAAAACCTTTTTTTCCTAATTCTTAACAACAAAATTATCATCAGTAAACTCAACAGAACACTTATTATCCAAAGTTAATTGACTAATAGATAAAAGGTTTTTTTTCTTAATTCAGGAACAACAAGGACTTTGGTTAGTTTCAAATGACCATGTTTAGAGTTTAAAGAGATATTACCAACATGAGAGATATGAAGACCTTGTCCATTTCCAACAAATACTTTATCACGACCTTTGTAAGTATAAACATTTTCTAATTTACCTGGGTTTTTTGTCATATGCGAAGTTGCTCCGGTATCGGCATTAAAATTTTGGTCATTAGGATCCTCGATGTTCATAGCAGCAAGAGCTTGAGTATTATTATCCTCAACATAGTCATATATGTCCCAACAATCTTTGGCAATATGGTTTTTCTTACTGCATATTTGAGACCCCCATTGTTCCTATTTGGGTTTCATTTCCACTACTGCCCATCCGCTTTAGGGCAAAGAGCAGTTTGTTTGCTATTTCTAAGGCCATTGGACTTCCGCTCCATACTGATGAAGCTACTTCTAATTGACGACGACCTAGTGAGGTA